TTATTATTATCACCATAGTGAAATCATTTCAAACCATCTCAATGGAATGAATACTATACAAAATTACAAATCATTATGATATTGAATAGAATTGACGACTAAAAATAACCACAGCAACAACAACAATAACAATCACACTAATGTTTATTTAACACAAACTGATTATGATTATTATACACAGTTGTTACATTTTTGTCATTTAAGAAAAAAAAAGAAAATCTTTTTGAATGCATTCAAGATCATTTTCTCTTCTTTTTTTCTTCTTTTTCTTCTTCTTTTTCTTCTTTCTTTTTCTTTCTTTTTTTTCGTTTACTTACTGGTTTACACACGGATAAAGTTTATGAAATAGAAAGTGAATTGTCTATTGAATAAACTTGTTTAGATTAGCGAATATAAATTCAGATTTTTTAAAAGCAGAGATAGATAGTGATTAGTAGTGGAATCAAGGATACGAGTTTCATCCTCTTTGGGACTCGTCAGTTGAATGATTTTTATTATTCTTCTTATAAAAGTTGTCCATTGTGTGTTTTTATACGGAAAAAGAAACAGTTATGTCGTTTAATAGACATTTTTTTTGAGTACGATATTTTGATCATGTACAATGAGTACCTGTAACTCAGAGTTGATGTCAAATTCGAGGGAGTCGAACCCAGTAACGTTTGCTTCTAACGTCATGCACATACATCTAGCTGACAAGTAACAAATAGAACGAAACACTTGTCCTGTATTTCATTGCTAGCCACTATCCACTACGCCTGGAGCCCCTGTGGGGCTACTGCCAGTCCCAAGCCCAGATAAAGGAGGAGGGTTGGGCATGGGATTAGCGACCCCATCCTGTAGAAAACTAAATCGTTAAAACAAACGCTACCCAGAAAAACTTATTCAAACCATTTAAAATCTGCCCTGGAAGTTAGAAGGTCTTCATTTAGAAGAGTTATGACGCCTCATAGTGAAAGTTGAGTTCCTTCGGAAGTCACGAGGATGATGCCCATTCTGATAACCGAAGCAACCATCAATTTAGGTACATGGAATGTTCGTGCAATATGAGAGACAGAGAGAGTCTTCCAAATCGCTGCTGTACTATCCATCATTGCTAAGAATACTTGTGAGTTAAGATAATATCCAGACAATATGCACAGTATGCACATATGTCAATGACGGACTGATCAGTTGCATTCCTCAATATCAATGGGAAGATTCAAGTACACAGTATCAAGTGAAACCATTCTTTTTTCTTTAAAAAAAAATTGAATTTTAACTTTTACTTCATAGTTCATGTGTCTTAATTACTTATTGATGATACTTACTTATTTACTTACTTACGCCTTTTACCTCTCGTAGAAGAGCTTTGGTCGCCCATCAGCATTTTGCATCCAACTCTCTGCTGGACAATCCTTTCCAGTTCTTTCTAGTTTCTATTCATCCTTTTCATATCTGCTTCCAATTCCTGACATAGTATGTATTCTTTGACCTTCCTCTTTTCCGTTTTCATTGAGGATTTCAAGTTAAAGCTTCCTTCGTGATGTAGTTCGGTGATTGTAGTATTTTAACACTTGAATTCATGAGTTGATTTAAGTTAGATCATCAATGAACACCTAAAAGTATTAGAATCTTATACTAAGACGAAATGATTGTCCAATGTTTCCATGTTTTCAATGGTACTTCTAGACTAAATTGATCTGTAACTCTGTTTAAACTGAATTTTGTTTAACTTTCATTATTCCTCTAATCAATATTAGTTTCTTAGAACAAGTTTGTTAAAAATAATACATAGTTACCATAATAATCAATTGTCGAACTTGTGACGATACGTATGATTCCATACTTACTTACTTACGCCTGTTACTCCTCGTGAAGGAACATAGGCCGCTCACCAGCATTAGCCATCCAACCCTGTCCTGCGCAATCCTTACTAGATCCTTCCAGTTGTTACTCATCTTTTCCATATCTGCTTTTATTTCCTGACGTAATGTGTTCTTTGGCCTTCCTCTCTTCCTCTTCCTTTCAGAGTTCCAAGTTAGTGTTTGTTTCGTGATGTAGTTTGATGATTTGCGTAATGTATATCCTATCCATTTCCATCGTCTTTTCCTAATTTCCTTTTTAGTTGGAAGCTGGTTTTTTCTCTTCCACAGTAGGCTATTGCTGATGGTATCCAGCCAATGGATGTTGAGTATCGTTCGTAGACAACTATTTATAAATACTTGCACCTTCTTGATGATGGTTGTTGTAGTTCTCCAAGTTTCGGCTCCATATAGTAGGACTGTCTTGACGTTCGTATTGACGATTCTCACTTTGATATTGGTTGAAAGTTGTTTTGAGTTCCATATGTTCTTCAACTGTATAATTCCATATGTTGCTTATATTGACTTCGGCTGGAAAATTGCGCCAGCATTTTTTAAAAATAAATTAACCTAAATGGTCTGTTGATCTTGCTTAGCAATATTAATGATAAAATTCACTTGACGTTGTTTTACTTGTATATTCCGACTGTTATTTAGGACCCCAATTGATCAGTCTCATGTTGTCATATGCTCAGGTACGTTCAGCTGACGAGTCCCAAATGGGACGAAACGAGCGTCCTGGATTCCACTGTTAGCCACTATTCAACTTTGTTTAAAAAGCTTGTGAATTAATAATAAAAAAGTTTAATGATATCGTTTTAGTGTCGAACTCTTCAATAGTGTGCATCTATGGTCTCCTGAATGTAAGCTAAAAACCTTAGGGTTTCACAGCTAGCCCGTAACTTTTAGATATTCAGTGGTTTATACAGTATTTCCCTAGTTTTCACTGGTGTTTAACTTATATTAGTGTATCGTGTCAACGAAATTCAACAACCTCCATGAACTATCTAAAATGATATCGGAGTATAGTGAACGATTAGACTTATTTGCATGAGATATCTATTTCAGTATGATCTTAGTCAGGATAGAATCGAAAACTAGGGGATAATAAACTCCTAAACAGTCTCGTACTGAAATTGAACGGTTGTGTCAACAGTTTTCGAGTTTTGATAGTATCTTAAGTGAGGTCGATTTATAATGAATACGACGTGTAGGTAATATTAAAAGACGTGTGTTTTTGAGCTCCAAATGTTGAAATTAAGTTACGTGGGGATTGTATGACACATTTTCTTGTACTCTGTCTGCATTCCATTAAATATCAACGTGTCTTTTTTAATAATCAATCCCTTTTGTGTATTATCAGTATGAGGTTGTGGAGATTATTATGTATTTGATTGAGACCATGAACCAATTAATGTTAGACCACCATTGAAAATCTGGAAACACTAGACGGCCTTTTCGTCCTATTGTGGGTCTTCTCAACAGTGCGTATTCACGATCCCGCTCACGGGATTCGAAGCCAGGGCCTTCAGTATCGCGAGAGAACTTTTAACCTCTAGACCACTGAGCCAGCATTCAACGCTGTATATTTTTTGCAATCAACTTTATGAAAGTTAAATTCATCACAAACTATTATCATTCAAAGAATGACTGAATAATATGCAACACTGAATAGCTGTATCGTTTGATTCCAACATTTTGATCTGATTAGAAACAACTTGATCTTGAATCGAGTATGATACATTTAAATCCTGAATTCACAATTGTATGATTCATCTAGCCAGGTTGAATTAATTCATGGTAATGCTATGATAATCATTCAATGTTTTTTAGCATTACCGACGTGATTAAACTCCATTGTATGTGATTTCCCACTGAATGTCAACGTAATTATTCCACTACTTAAATTGTATATTTGTACAGCAATACAGAATGATTGCAAATAGGATTTCTTCACAAGGTTAGATCAAGATGTATTCATAACAGAATGATGATCTGTTGTGATTGTAGTAATTTTAATAGTTGAATTTATGAGTCGATCTAGACTAAACAACCATTGACAATCTGTAACCACTTGAAAGCCTCTCCCTACTAGTATGAGACTCCTCATCAGTGCGCATTCACGATCATGCACCGAAGGGACTCGAACTCAGGACCTTTGTTCTCACGTTCTTACGCTTAATCTCTAGACTACTGAGCAGATAGGTATCCATTGGTGTCAGTGTCTAACTTCAACTGATCTATGATCATGCACAACACTTCATCCACTGTTTGAGGTAGATACTTGTCACCAGCCAACACGTATCGGACTTATTTGGTCACGAATTCTCACCAAAACTCCATATTCGTATATTTCCATTGATACCCACTTAGTTTTGTGGAATGATTCACTTAAATTATTTACCTTATTACTAGACAAGTTAAATCAACCAGAATGATAAAATGGATACAACATTTTAAGTGAAATGAATGTTAAAAATACGACACACCTCAGTAACGACATAACAACACACACACTCTCGCTCTCTCTCTTCATATATATATGACGGTAGAGCGAAATGTCCAGTCATAAAGATGAAATAACTAGAGCATGAGATCTAGACATTATACAATGTCATTATCAATCATACACTCAATTGAACATATGACATTGGGAAGTCCATTTATTTGCGTAACTCAATGTTTACAGTTTAAGTTTTACACATGTCATAATTATTCGGTAAATTGATAAGTCTTGTCGATCGAACGCTATATTCGTTTTCCTAAGCTATTCTGGTAACCCGCAGTCTAGAACTACACAGCGACTTGAACACCAGAGAGAAGACACAAGTATGAGAGAAAATACTTTATTCCAAGGTTTATTTTTGTACAGAAAATCATAGGTATTTATAGATGTTGGCGTCTGTTGAATCAACATCATATTTCAGCCAATCCGTTAACGACATATTATGCTACCGACCAACAGTAGCATGCCACGTTGGAATTCTAGAGCGTCTCATCATACTCTAATTGGCTAGGACCCTTCGGCTCCTTTTGGGCCTCTAGAGGCTCCGTTGAAGTTCTCCGGAAGCCGACTCAACATAAATAAATAGTAGATTGTAGTGCTGAAAATACTGTTAAGTGTATGAGATCTAGTCGTACATTATTATTAGCCTTTGTTTAAAAAAACTTGTCACTTAAGTCTATTTCAAGACAATCCTCACAGGATGTACATATGCGTCAACAAGAGACTGATCAATTACAACACCAAGTGAATTTAAACTTCAGCCCACTGCACAAACAGGTGACTATTTGGACTCAGTAGCTAAATGGATAACGTGATGGTATTTGAGGCGAATGGTACTGGGTTCGAGTTCCAGATTGAACATTAACAAATCTGTGATGTAGGTATATTCGGCTGATGAGTCTTAGGTAGGACGAAACATGCGTCAAACTGGACTCCATTGCTATTTCACCACTATCCATCTTTCCATAATTTACCTAATATTTTATAAATTACATTTAAAACATAATTCATACTTCCTTCTTTTTCTATTCATCCATTAAGGTAACCTAATCTTTATCTAAACTTATACATACACCATAGTAACAATAATGACTTATGATAAAACCCGCTTAAAATTCAATTCAAATATATCATATTATAATCATAATAAACAATTTGATTTACCATCATTACTGGCTACTGGAAAATTTTATATTGATGAATATGGTTTTCTTGTTACATCCAATGGTACACGTTATCGTATCCCATCTGGTCCACCGGAAGGTCGTAAACCATTACAATTTAATCAATTACCAATCATTAATACTAAGAATAATAAGAATAAATCAATAATTCATTTCAATTATCCAATCAATATAATCAATAAATCCCATGAAACTATTCATATTGAATTACAAGATACTCATAAATTAATCAATAATTCTGATCATGATTATGATGAACATCATTATAATAGTATTATGCAATCCTCCTCCTCATCATCATCATTATTATCATTACCTTATATGAAATCCAATCTATCAATGAAACCATTGAGTAACGGTTCATCTGTGAACTTCATTCATTCAAATCAACATCATGGTTATCATCACCCTAGTGATACATTACATACCATAGATTGGAATGTGATCTTATTCACATTGATTATTAGTTCTATATCATTAGTATGTAATATTATTTTAGTTGTTTTCTTATCCTATCGATTACATCATCATCATCATCATCATCATCCTCGGCATCATCCTCATGCTCGTCATCATCAGAAATGGTTACACCATCATCAGAAGTATTTCAATAGTTCATGTAATCATAGTAATCATGAAAATAAACAATTGACTACTACCAATACTACTAATAATACTACTACTAATTATGAATATAAAAATATATTATGTAATCATCTTTTTAAAAATCAATCAATCCCATGTCAGTGTATTACTGATTTAAACCCACTGACTAATTGTCCATGTGTATATAAACAATTGAAAGGTAATAATCACACTAAGAATACTACTACTCATAAAGATAATAATTTAAGTAATATAATGAATTCTAATATGAAAAACTTATCATATCCATGTTGTAATATAAATTCTAATTGTGATTTACATTCATCTCTATTACATAATCATAAAAAAAGTAAAAAAATCAAATCATCTATTATAAAACAATCGAATCAATATAATGAACATGATCATTTATATTCATGTAATAAATCATTACCATCTAATCATCATTGGTTACTATGCTCTACAAATCAACAATCCGATATTGATTCATTTAATAATAATAATAATAATAATAATAATAATGATTGGAAAATAATTCCTAATCATGATATGATTAGTGATTGTAGTAATGAAGATGACCATGACAACAAAAACACCAACAGTAACAAACAGCACCGCCACCATAGCAACAGTAACAACAAGAATAACAACTATTTATCTCATTCAAATATTTTATATACACCATCAAGGTATTCGAAACAACAACACAAATGTATACATCTGCAAACAAATACAAATCAAAGACATCATATATCACAACAACCATTATCTATAATTCATTCATATAATACTTTATTAAATCAATCCCCTAGATTAAGTGATTGTGTTAATGATCCAACTATTCAAGAAGACGAAGATGAAAAACAACAAGGAATAGAACAAGAAGAAGATCACGAAGAAGAAGATGATGATGAAGAAGAACAAGAACGAGAAGAAGAAGAACAACAACAACAACGAGAAGAAGACGAACACTTGATAACTAATCCAAAATGTATCATATTGAAAAATTCCATGATTATTTATCATCAATATATTTATATATGTTATACTATAGCAATACATTTAGGTATCCTTGGTATTATATTATCATTATTACAATTATTAGTTATATGTATTGCATTAATACAAAAAACTACCTTAGATACTACCTATGATATAACATATAATCATGAATTTATATGTCTATTATCGAATTCATTAGCCACCGATACACTATTATGTGTTCGTTTATACCTAGTAACTATATTTATATTATGTTCATTTATTATATTCTATATACAAATCATCATGAAAATGGTCATCACCATTATAGATTTTACAAGTTTTCAATTACCTAAATATTCTTTCTATAAACGATTTCTATTTACTATCATACATAATACTACTAATAAGCATACTACTTATAATCATGATAGTAATCATATTTATTTTCAACAAAATTTTGCATATATTGCTTTAATTCATTCAATTCCATGGGCATTAGCTGCTGGTACATCATTATTGATTGCTTTTTTCTTTCAAATACCTATACATTCAAATTCATTGATAATCAATAAATCAATATCTAATCATAGTCAATTGACATCGATAGAATCAATCAAATCAAATCATATAAATCTATTATTTAATGGATTACATTCATTATTGACATGTTCTATGAAGAGAACAACATCATTATCGGCATCATTGTCGTCGATATCATCATCGTTGACGACATCAACTTCTATGAATCCTGATGTCATCCTAACTACTACTACTTCTACATGGATATCATCAATTCTTTTGATTATTATTCCACTATTATTACAAATGATGATGATTATATTATTTATTATATTATTATATATGATTCTATATTATATTAATCATAGAAATTGTATTATATATCAATTAAAATTACCTAATCAATCAATAGTATTGATTATATTGATTTTATTGATCGAATTGATTAGTTTATGTATACCAATTGTATATCATTTTATTATGACGTATTATTCAATTAATGATAAACAATTATTATTTATTACACGTATTATTATATTACATTTTTGTATTGATCCAATTTTATTGATTTATATAATACAAAAATGCCTTAGTAACAAACATATTTTAATGCTTAGTAACAAATTTAATAGAATCCATATGAAATCAATTAAAAATAAAAAAAATAATCAATTAATTGATTATCATTCATTAGAATGTATTAATAATAATAATAATAATAATAATAATAATAATAATAATGAAATGAAACCATTAACATCACCTATACATTTATTTAATTGTTTACCAATGCATCATTCAAATACTATTACTACTACTACTTATACTACTACTAATACTACTTATAATAGTAATAATAATATTCAATCTGTTGTTATGCCATATTTAACTGATTCAGGATATTTTGTATCAACAATCAATAATAGTAATAATGATAATAATAATCATTCACTGATTACATCATCAATCATCAATAATGATAAAATCAATATGAATAATTATATATTACCCATAACAACGGATACAATTGAAGTAACTATGCCTAATATATATCCGAATAATAATAATAATAATAGTAGTAGTATTATTAGTAGTAGTAATAATATACATCTAAAAGATTCATCATTATTAACTCCAGTTACAGAAATGATTAATCATAATACATTAATCTATAAAAATATGTATGATGCTTATCCACAATTATGTCAACATCATCAACGTTTATTAGCTGAACAATATAAACAACCAAACATGGATACAATAAAACGTAATCGTCATTTTACTAATGTACCACGTATGAATCAAACGATAACAACAACCAATTTTAATGTATTATCTTTCAATAAATCAATCAATGAATGTTCCAATAATAATAATAATAATACAATACCTCATATAATGAATGAAATGGTATGTACACAACAGCATAGTACAGCAACAGCAGCTGTGATGGCAGCTGCAGCAGCTGCAGTAGCAGCACAAGCAAGTACATTAACTAAACCAATACATTCATTATTAGATTCAATACAAATAACACCTAATCCATTATTATTTATAAATGAACAAAAAACAATAGAACAATCTATATCAAATGATAATCAAGATTGAATTATGAACAAAAATAATGAATAAGATTAAACAAGTGTATAATAATATCAGAAGGAGTTTTGTGGAAATTTTTTTCTTAGAAATTTCATTGATTGAAATCATGAATTAATTGAAGCTAGACCATCATGGAAAACCTGGAAGTACTGGATGGCCGTTTTGTCCTAGTATGGGACTCCTCAGCAGTGTACGGTAGTACAACTTTGTGGATTGGTTAAAGTTGGACAATAACACCGATGGATGCCGACTCAGTGGTCTAGTTGGTCAAGCGCCTAACGCGAGACTGATAAGTCGTGGGTTCGGATCTCGCGGGATGTGGGACTGCTGAGGAGTCACATGCTAGGACGAAACGGCAGTTCAGTGCTTCCAGGTTTTCCATAGTGATCTAGCTCTAATTGACTTATGATTTCAATCACTGAAGTGTATAATAATTCAATGATTCATTCAATTCATTATAAGATGAATATTATTTCTGTATATAAAGATTTTTATTCAGTCATTGAATTGTGTGTTGCTTCGTTGTTGTTGAATGGATCCAAGTTCGACGACTGTTGGAAACGTAGAAGAAATGAATATCTGTTTTGTTACAGTAGATGACATTTCAATAATCGGTACTGATGATTTAGATATAAGAAATCAAACCAAGAAACTTCGGTTTCACACACATGGACGAACACTTAGCCTTTAGACCAATAATCAGTCAGTCAGTCAACTACAGCGTAGGAGCAGGTACATATATGCATCGGTCCAAGTTGCCATACCTCATTAGCACAACAAGATGAACAACAAATTTATGGTAATTACTTCAATGGTATTAATATATAAAAGAAAGATTGTGTATAAGAATATAATACAAGAAGAAAGAATTAGTTTGTAGAAAGAAAGGTATGAAGCAATTTTAATCTCATGGTTTAAAAGAAGATAAAGAGTGTATACATCTACTCTATTGTGATGGATTCTGAGCCATGTCACCAAGAGTTTCCAACCAATGATTACGATAGTCACGTGGAAACCAACCAAGTGGTCTGCATCTACCAAAATGGCTCAGACTATAGGTTAGTGACGTCAAGTACTGATGCCACGTTTCGGTTTGACCGCCCCTCACTTTCTTCGAGCCATCCCCTACACTAGTCTTCATTGAAAATCTTTCTAATCGGTGGTTGGGCATGCGTAATACATTGCCCAACCATCTCAGTCGATGAAGACTTAAAACTCCATCACCTGATTTAGCATCATCATTCCCTAATACCCTGTGTCCAACCTCACTATTACTTAACTAGTGATTGCAGCAGGTGCGAGCAATATTTCTAAGGCATCTGTGGTCAATTACTAGTAAGCTACGAAAATCCCCTACTCTTACCGGACGTGTTTTATAGCCATAAAGTAGGACGAAGCGAACTGCTGAGCAGTAAACCCGTCCTTTGTTTGGTAGACGGATATCTCGCCTACGCTTTAAATGAAGCGAGTTGGCAAAGGCCAAATGAGCCACACAAGTCACTTAATTTGTGTGTGGATTATGACACTGTCCGGGTGCACGGACGAAGTAGGTAGTTTTCCTAGAGGGCCATATCCGGAGTCTTCGACCTAATGGTCTGATACACAAGTCAGTGGAGCAACATAAGGAGATGCATTCGCATGGTAAACAGTAACCAACACTATTTGTTCCCTCGGTATCCTGAAGTCCATGTGCTCCATTTGTTTTTAATATAGGTTTTCCAACTTCCCTATGTGTATCCTTCGTACCCACCAACCCGGTTAAATCTCCTGCCAAATATTCGCATTTCGTCCTTTCAATTTCGTAAACGACACCTGTAGTGCGAGAAAAGAGTGAGTATGACTTTTCTGGCAGTGGTTGTATGTACATGGTCATGTTGAAGCATTTCGAGAAGGAGAGCCGACTCTCCTCACACTTCCTGTACCAGGGCATTTGTGGGTTACATGAAATTCATCAGAAGAAATTGGTTACATTTTCATCAAAACTACTATTATCTGTAGGTCTGAAACGCATTTTGATTCATATTAGAAACTGAAATATTATCACCGAACCATTCAAGCCTCAATCAATCACCTGTTAGATCAGTGCACAAGGAAAACTCAACAGAATTCAAGACTTTAGATAACACCTTATACGAGATTATGCTCATGTACTAAAATGAAACAATTTTTGATTGCACTTCTGTTATGACGTGTGGCCTTATTCCCCTATCAATATATCGCCAACTAGAGAACAGTGATTTATCGACCAGATCAATGACGCATAAAACCCGTACGAGTAGTTTAGAGTCATTATCGGCCATTCTACTCATCTTGTTGAGTCCAGAACATCAATCTCAACCTCTGTAATAGGAATCGTGTATTTCAAACAGTAGGTTCATATATCAACCAGACAGATCACATTGTACTATAAAATAGGGAACAACATTTGTACAAGATTTGGTCAAATGTGGCTGTGAATGTGGGAGGTATTGATTAAAAGACAGGGCATAACTCATGAATGGTAAGTCGTATAGTAATAGTTCATAGATTAAAATAAAGCTTAGAACAAGAGGAATATGAATATGAATAGTTTAGTTACTTAAGAATTATACAATAATATTAGATCATAAATAGATCCCAAACAGTTACGATTCATTATGCTCGTCGAGATGCAACAACATCCACCATAAAATACATGTATACCAATATACTTGAATGATAGAATAATCTTTCTTATTCACATTAGAAATCTTGTACATAAACAAAAATGTATTTCGCTTTACGATTTCCATTTAAAGAAGAAAAAACTAGGCTAAAGACCACCTATTCTTGTTGCCCAGTGTTTATACCTCTAATCTCCAAATTTAGATGGTGGTTGGAGGTAGTCAACAGGAAACCCCGGACCCGGGTTTCGTGCTACTTGGCACTCGTCAGCAAGGTGTACCTGTAATCTTGAGGGAACTGGTGCTCCCTGGAGGATTCGATCTCGTGTCACCCAGCTTCACAGTCAAAGACGTTACCTCTGACTGTGAAGCTGGATGACACGAGATCCTGTTGACTACCTCCAACCATCATCTAAATCCCAATACATAGTGCCCACAGTGTCGAGTCACCTAGACTGGTGGCCACATTGCAACATGATCGATAGCATTCGATCTGCACTAATAAGGGCTAGACAAGCATGACATTGATCACCACCCAGTGATCAATCAATTGTAATCTCCAAATAGAACATAAATGTACATACATATGTATAGATGTATATGTATATGCAAAGAAGTATGAAAGATTGAAATGGTGTAATACTTTTTCAGACCACATAGTAAGGAAAATGAGACAAAAAAATTAGATTGAAATAAAATGTTTAATGGAAATTTAAGCCTTTAAATGCCTTGGTACGACAGAGAGTGAGGAGAGTTAGTTCTCCCTCTTCAAATGCTCTCACATGACCGTGTGCATAGAACCACTGTCAGAAAAATACTACTCAATGCTTTCTCACACCATCGGCGTTGTTTACGAAATTGAGAGGATCAAATGCAAATATTCAGCAGGAGCTTTAACCGGATTAGTGGACGCAGAGGGTCCATCCAGGAGAGTTGGAAAACCTTCATGTCAAACTAATAGTTCACATGGACTTCAGGATCCTGAAGGAATAAATGGTGTATGGACCAATCGTTGGTGACTGGCTACCATGTGAATGCATCACCTTACGTTGTTCCACTGAATTGTGGATAAGATTTTTAGGTCGAAGGCTCAGGGTATGGCCCTCTAAGAAAACCACTAGCTTCAGTCTGGTCACCCAGTCAGTATCACAGCCCACACACAAACCAAGTGACTTGTGTGGCGCATATGTATTCAGTGCCCCTTTTTACCAATATTTATGTGTTCAAATAAATAAATAAATAATAACTCTAAAGTTTCACATGGGAAATTTGTTCGAGTTCGTTCAAAGAAATAACTCAGATTACTTTACGCAAATATCTCAAGAAATTTGATCGAAGTAGTTTAACAGTATTTGGGTACTGAGTTGATATAATGCAATAAGAAGGAAGAATGTATTTGGAAAATCTCAGTGAATGAGCTTGAAGTAAATCCAACTGTAGGGACAATGAAATGTCACTAATCCTTAGCCTAGTCATTCGGTAGTTGGGCCACTGAATATCGATCCGACCATCGATCCCCGTGAAAGTCAAGGACGACTAACGCGCGTCATTTAATCGTACGACATGGAGTGGCCCATGAGGCGGTAGTCTTACATTCGCTTGTATCTACTTTAACTAATATATTTTTGTAATAAAGTCCTTTGTGTTGTACAGTCTTCAAAGCATCTATAGTACCTCGATAAGTTGATGGGGCAATCCACGTAAGGTGCTGACCGCAATGTGTGACTTCGACATTAGCTGGTTCATCACACCTTTTCTTTCTTAATTTAATAGGCCCTCAATCATTCGACGTAGATCATCTACGCTGGTGATTTACACAACGTTTCGCCTCACAATTTGATTCAGCTTTTTCAACGAAATATAATCAAACATCAAAATGATCGAATAGAAATAAGGACATGATTCACTGGTTAACTGTATAGTAAATAGGTCATCCAATCAACATTAAATCACAATTGATTGATCACTGGGTGGTGATCAATCTCATGCTTGTCTAGTCCTTGTTAGTGCAGATCGAATGCTATCGATCATGTTGCAATGTGGCCACCAGTCTAGGTGACTCGACACTGTGGGCACTATGTAATGAGATTTAGATGATGGTTGGAGGTAGTCAATCTCATTACATAGTGCCCACAGTGTCCAGTCACCTAGACTGGTGGCCACATTGCAACATGATCGATAGCATTCGATCTGCACTAACAAGGACTAGACAAGCATGACATTGATCACCACCCAGTGATCAATCAATTGTGATTACATCTCAGTCCTACAGGAGGTTATTTACGGCTCGGATAGCTCAGTGGTAACGTCTCTGACTGTAAAGCTGGGTGACACGAGGTCGAATCCTCCAGGGAGCACCAGTTC